CTACCCAGGGGGAGAGCTTGAGGCTCTGTCTCAAAAAAAAAAAAAAAAAGAAGTGATGGTTGAGCTGAGATTTGAAGAGAAAAACAGTTAACTAGATGGTGGCCATATGGGTGGATAAGAATATTCTAAGCTTGTACAGGAGCCATGGATGTTTCTGGAATTGAAGAAGTGGGGATGAGATAGCTTCCTCCCTTTGCCTGGAGAGTTTCCACTCCTCCTGTAGCCTTCCTCATCCAAGGATACTTGCTTGGAAACATCTCCACCTCCACTCTTACAATTATCAAAGGGTCATTTGGAATGGTGTAGAGTTGTTTGATCTTGCTGTTTTGTAACAGCAAATAATAAAAAATAATAAAAAAAATAATCAAAGGGCATTACTACCTTTATTGAAAGGGAACCAGGGGTTTGAAACATTCTGCAATATGTGGGGATGACTCTACATGAAAAAAAATTAACTTTGCCACCCGACATGCCAGTAGGGCCCCTGTTGGGAATCTACTGCCAGTTCTTTTCTCTGTGTGTGTAACATGAACTTTACCATCTTAATCATTTTTACATGTATAATTCAGTAGTGTTAAGCACACTCACATTGTTGTGCAGTCAGTCTCCAGAGCTCTTTTTACCTCATTAAACTGAAATTCTCTACCATTTGAACAATTACTCTCCATTCTTTCCTCCTCCCAGCCCCTGGCAGCCAGCATTCTATTTTCTGTTTTAGGAATTAGACTCCTCTAAATACCTCACGTACGTGGAATCATACAGGATTTGTCTTTCTGTGATTGGCTTATTTCACTTAGTGTAACATCCTCAAAATTCTTCCATCTGCTGGCCAGATGCAGTGGCTCACACCTGTGATCCTAGCACTCTGGGAGGCCAAGGCAGGAGGATCCCTTGAGCTCACGAGTTCAATACTAGCCTAAGCTAGAGTGAAACCCCATGGGTGGCACCTGTGGCTCAGTGGGTAGGGCGCTGGCCCCATATACTGAGGGTGGCAGGTTCCAGCCCGGCCCCGGCCAAACTGCAACGAAAAAATAGCCAGGCATTGTGGTAGGTGCCTGTAGTCCTAGCTATTTGGGAGGCTGAGGCAAGAGAATCACCTAAGCCCAGAAGTTGGAGGTTGCTGCTTTCTCTACTGAGGGCGAGAAAGTGAGACTCTGTCTCTACAAAAAAAAAAAAAAATTGAGACCCTATCTCTACTAAAAATAGAAAAATTAGCTGGGTGTTGTGGCAGGCACCTGTAGTCCCAGTTATTTGGGAGGCTGAGGCAGGAGGAGTGCTTGAATCCAGGAGTTTGAGGTTGCTGTGAACTGTGATGACATCATGGTATTTTACCAAGAGTGACAGAGAGAGACTCTGTCTCAAAAAAAAAAATAAAATTCATCTATGCTATAGCATGTGTCAGAATTTCCTTCCTTAGTAAGTCTAACATTCCATTGTATATGTTTACTACATTTTCTTTTATACATTCATCCACTGATGGACACTTAGGTTGCTTCCATGTTTTAGCTATTGTGAATAACGCTTCCATGACATGGTGTACTAATATCTGTCTGAGGCCCTGCTCTCAATTCTATTGGGTATATGTCCACAAGTGGAATTGCTGAAATATAGAAATTCTATTTTTTAATTTTTTTTTGAGAAGCTGCCACCTATTTTGTATAGTGGCTATACTAGTTTACATTCCTACCAACAGTGCACAGGGTTCTAATTTTTCCATATTCTTTTTTTTTTTTTTTTTTTTGTAGAGACAGAGTCTTACTTTATCGCACTTGGTGGAGTGCTGTGGCATCACACAGCTCACAGCAACCTCCAACTCCTGGGCTTAGGTGATTCTCTTGCCTCAGCCTCCCAAGTAGCTGGGACAACAGGTGCCCGCCACAATGCCTGGCTATTTTTGTTATTGTTGTTGTTGCAGTTTGGCCGGGGCTGGGTTTGAACCCACCACCCTCAGTATATGGGGCTGGTGCCCTACCCACTGAGCCATAGGCACTGCCGAATTTTTCCACATTCTTACCAATACTTGCTATTTTCTGTTATTTTGATAGTAGCTATCCTCATGGGTGTGAGGTGGTATCTCATTGTAGTTTTGATTTTCATTTCTCAGAAATGAAAGATGTAGAGCATCTTTTCATGTGCTTATTAGCCACTCGAATATCTTCATTGAAGAAATATCTATTTAGATCCTTTGCCTGTTTTTAAATAGGATTATATATCTTTATTTATTTATTTATTTATTTATTTTTGAGACAGAGTCTCACTTGTTGCCCTAGCTAGAATACTCTGGTGTCACAACTCACAGCAACCTCAAACTCTTGGGCTCAAGTGATTCTTTTATCTCAGCCTCCCTAGTAGCTGGGACTATAGGTGCCCACTATAACACCTGGCTATTTTTAGAGATGAGTTTTGCTCTTGCTCAGGCTGGTCTCAAAACTGTGACCTCAGGCAATCCACCTGCCTTGGTCTCCCAGAGTGCTAGGATTACAGGCATGAGCCATCATGCCTGGCCCTTCTTTATATTATTGAATTGTAGGAGGTTTTCACTTACTCTCTATATATCCCTTATCTGGTATTCTGATATATAATTTGCAAATATCTTTGTTTATTCTATAGGTAGCTTTTTACTTTTTTTTTTTTTTTTGAGACAGAGTCTTACTACATTGCCCTCAGTAGAGTGCCATAGTGTCACAGCTCACAGCAAGCTCAAACTCTTGGGCTTAAGTGATTTTCTTGCCTCAGCCTTCCAACTAGCTGGGACTACAAGCGCCTGCCACAACACCCAGCTGTTTTTTTGTTGTAGATGTTATTGTTGTTTGGCAGGCCTAGGCCGAGTTCAAACCCACCAGCCCCAGTGTATGTGGCTGGTGCCCTAGACACTGAGCTATGGGAACCGAGCCTTTAATTTCCTTCCACAGTGTTTTGGAAGGAAACATTGTTTTTTGAGACAGAGCCTCAAGCTGTTGCCCTTGAGAGTGCTGTGGCATCACAGCTCACAGCAACCTCCAACTCCTGGGCTCAAGCAATTCTCCTGCCTCTGCCTCCCAAGTAGCTGGGACCACAGGCACCCAACACAACGCCCAGCTATTTTTTGGTTGCAGCTGTCATTGCTGTTTGGTGGGCTGGGGCTGGATTCGAACCCACTGGCTCACGTGTATGTGGCTGGCGCCTGTATTGAGCCACAGGCACCGAGCCTGTACTTCTTTTGTTAAATTAATTCCTAAGTGTTTTATTCTTTTTGATGTTCTTGTAAGTGAAATTATCTTGTTAATTTCTTTTTTTTTTTGAGACAGAGTCTCACTTTGCTGCTCTTTGTAGAGTGCATGGCATTATAGCTCACAGTAATCTCAAATTCTTGGGCTTGAGCTATTCTCTTGCCTCAGCCACCTGAGTAGCTGGGACCACAGGTACCCACCACAATGCCCAGCTGTTTTTAGAGACAGGGTCTCACTCTTGCTCAGGCTGGTGTTGAACCCATGAGCTTAGGCAATCCACCTGGCTTGACTTTCCAGGGTGATAGAATTACAAGCATGAGCCGCCAGGTTAATTTATTTTTAGATTGTTCATTGCTAATGTATAGAAATACAATTGGGTTTTTTGTGTGTGTGTGTGTATATATATATGTATATATATATATTTTTTTTTTTTGGAAGAGCTCATGAACTGGTATCAGTTTTTTTTGTTTGTTTGTTTTTTAGACAGTCTGATTTTGTCACCGTTGGTAGAGTGCTGGTGGCGCCATCGCTCACAGCAACTTCAAACTCTCTGGCTGAAGTGATTCTCTTGCCTCAGCCTCCTGAGTAGCTGGGAGTACAGGTGCCTGCCACAGTACCCAGCTGTTTTTAGAGATGGGGTCTCCCTTCTTGCTCAGACTGATCTCGAACTCCTAAGCTCAGGCAATCTGCCCACCTTGGCCTCCAGAGCCACCATGCCAGGCTGGTATCAGTTTTTCTTCAAATATTTGCTGGAGTTCATCAGTAAAGACATCTAGGCCTGGGCTTTCCTTTGTGGTAGTTTATTTTTCAATTACTAATTCAATTTCCACATAAACTTTGGCACTATTTGAATGTTTTCAGTAGGATTTTGATCTTCCAGTAAGACATTAAAATTTTTTGAGAGTATGAGCTTTGGAAATAAGTAATCAGACAGATCTAGATTCAAAGTTCAGTTCTGGAGCTTCTGCTTAGATCTTTGAATCTCACCGTCTCTGCCTGCAAATTAAAGAGCACAGTAACGCGTTATTGTAAGGTTGAACTGGGCCCAGCACCAGGCTCTAGGTAGCTTTTGAGATGACTCTATAGCTGCTTTTTCCCTCTATATTTTTGCAACAGGGTGCAGTGCCATTCCTGGTCAGTGCCACCTCTGGCACCACCGTGCTGGGGGCCTTTGACCCGTTGGAGGCAATTGCTGATGTGTGCCAGCATCACGGTCTGTGGCTGCATGTGGATGTGAGTGGGACTTGGGCCTGGGGTGGGGTGGGCTGGGCTGAGCTGAAGCCAAGGCCCACGTTGTTCCTCCTGCTCTACAGGCTGCCTGGGGTGGGAGCGTCCTGCTGTCACAGACACACAGGCATCTCCTGGATGGGATCCAGAGGTGCATATAGCCCCCTTCTTCCCAAATATTGCCTTTCAAATCCTTGATCCAGAGAAGAGTCATGGACTGGAGAGCTTAGGATGAGACTGGGGGAAGGAGGTTGGTGGGAAGGGGACTGGAGAGATGCTTCACTGGGGCTGGGAGATCAGACATGGGAATTCTTCCAGACTAGTGGGGTGGGGTGAGACCAAAGTCCCTTTGCTGGGGATCTGAAAGAAGAGGAGGCTCTGGTTGGGCAGTTTGAGGAGGAGCCTCTGACCTGGCTTTGCTTCACCTCACTCAGGGCTGACTCTGTGGCCTGGAATCCTCACAAGCTCCTTGCAGCAGGCCTGCAGTGCTCTGCGCTGCTTCTCCGGGACACCTCGGTGGGTTCACGCCTGCCCCTGCCCCCCCCCACCCCCCGGAGCTCCATTTTCTTCTCTGTTCCGCTTTAGAGGGGTTCCAAGCCTTACTGTGTTCTCAGATGTGCCATCATCTGAAGTTGATTATCTGCCACCACCCTAACCTGTATTGGGCTCCCTCACCTTCCTCATGGCCTGTCTTCATGCAAAGGGGAAAGTTTCCAGCTTGATGTGACAGTCACAAGGATCCTGGGCAGAGTTTGGAAAGAGCCCTGGGTGTTGGGAGAAAACAGAGAAGGTTCTTAGTTAGCTGGCTGCCACCCTATAGTGCTGCCCAGTTCAGGAGAAGGAAAAGGGTGGCCTGAGCTTAGGAACCGCCACGCCACTCTATAGGAAAGCCTGGTGGAGAGGCCAGAGTCTGACCATCTCCTTACCCTGCACAGAACCTGCTCAAGCGCTGCCACGGGGCCCAGGCCAGCTACCTTTTCCAGCAGGACAAGTTCTACGATGTGGCTCTGGACACGGGAGACAAGGTGGTGCAGTGTGGCCGCCGTGTGGACTGTCTGAAGCTGTGGCTCATGTGGAAGGCGCAGGGCGGGCAAGGCCTGGAGCAGCGCATTGACCAGACCTTTGCCCTTGCCCGGTAGGCATGTGTGTGTGTTGGGGGGTGTCCCAGTGACACTCTCCCAGGCTCCATCCCGCGTCTTCCTACACTCAGGGTTGCCTTTCTGTCAGTGTCTCTCAGGCTCATTGTCTGTGGGTTTCTTCTGTTTCTGTGCCTTTCTTCCTCCACCTGTGATTTCTCACGCTCTGCTCACAGGTACTTAGTGGAGGAAATGAAGAAGCGGGATGGATTTGAGTTGGTCCTGGAGGTACGTCCCCATACTCTTTTGCAGCCTCCTGCTTGGCAGGGCGAGGGAGACTTGTCCCTGTTCCTCCACTCACACCATCCCCTTCCTCGTTCCTTTCAGCCTGAGTTTGTCAACGTGTGTTTCTGGTTTGTACCCCCCAGTCTTCGGGGGAAGCAGGAAAGTCCGGATTACAGTGAGAAGTTGTCTAAGGTAGGCCTTCTCTGCCGGCTCTGCTTAACCCAGTTCCGGGGATTGATGCCCCCTGCTGGCCATGCCTGGTATGGCGGGATGTCAGGGGAAGACAATGCCCACTGGTTTTCCCTCTGGGAGTGGGTATGGGGAACAAGGCATTATTTCTGGGAAGTAAGACAAGGCAGAGAGGGGCGTTACAGGAGGAGTCAGAGAAGTCCCAGTGTGCATAGACTTATGTGGTGAGAATTGAGTTGGGAGGCCAGGCCCAGGACAGATGTGAGGCAGAAAGATGACATTCGTGCCTTAGCTGGGACAGAATAACCTGGTCCATACATGCCTCCCAGAGGCGAGGAGATAATATCATGTCCTGGTCCCTAAGGACAGATTGGTATGAGGTGCCTCATATAATCTGAAAGGACATGAGGGTTCTTGCCCTTATGGAATTCTTACTTTTAGAAAACAAGAATTACCAGTTTTGCACAGCGCCTGTGGCTCAGTGAGTAGGGCGCCGCCCCATATACCGAGGGTGGCAGGTTCAAACCTGGCCCCGATCAAACTGCAACAAAAAAATAGCCAAGCATTGTGGCGGGCCCCTGTAGTCCCAGCTACTCAGGAGGCTGACGCAAGAGAATCACCTAAGCCCAAGAGCTGCAGGTTGCTGTGAACTGTGACATCTCAGCACTCTACCAAGGGCAACAAAGTAAGACTCTATCTCTAAGAAAAAGAATTACCAATTTGAAACCAATGTGTTCTAGGCAGTATTTTTTCTTTAATTTTGGATTAATATGAGGGTACAAGCAACCAGGTTACAATATTTGCATTTGTAAGATAGACTTCCTTTTGTAGTTGTGTCCCGTACCCACTGTTCTATGCAATTTTGTAAATTACATGCTAGATTACAGAACACAGATTAATATAAAAAATATTACAAAAATTAAGAGCAGGGAGGATAAGGTGTTAAGGATGGCTAAGGCTTGAAGGCAGACTAAAGCAGTGTTGGGAATCAGAGCAGCATCAGGATGTGGCAGAAAATGGCCCATGTGACAGATTTCCTGGAGATAGGAGAAATAGGGAGTCAAGTAGGAGGCAGAGAAAGTCAAGCAGGTTGGATGTGGTGGAAAATGTAAACTGGGCCAATGTCAGGGTCTGAGCAATGAACTCTACCGCTGGAAGGTGGCTGGGTGGAGAGAAAAACATCTCTGGTAGCCAGGTGGCCAGGAAGCCAACCCACCCCTCCCCTGACCCCGGGCTGCAGCTAGAGTCTCTTCCCTCCCACAGGTGGCTCCTGTGCTCAAGGAGCGCATGGTGAAAGAGGGCTCCATGATGATTGGCTACCAGCCCCATGGGACCAGGGGCAACTTCTTCCGAATGGTTGTGGCCAACCCCTCCCTGACCCTTGCTGATATGGACTTCCTCCTCGACGAGCTGGAGCGGCTGGGCCAGGACCTGTGAGACTGCTCCTCCTCACTGCCACCCTTCACACAGAGTCCCTAGGTCCCTCCCTGTGTTCTCAAGAACAACCTTTCTGAGAAACAAAGTAGGCTTCACAATGTCTATATGCTTTGACCCACTAACTTTCCTCACTAAATATTTGAGAATGTTTAAATAAACGATAGTATAGCCATATGATGGAATGTTATCCTGCTATTAAAATTGTTAATAAAAAAAATAAAATTGTTAATAAAGAAAAAAAAATTTTTTTGAGACAGAGTCTCATTATGTTGCCCTTGGTAGAGTGCTGTGGTATCACAGTAACCTCAAATTCTTGGGCTTAAGCGATTCTCTTGCCTTAGCCTCCCAAATAGCTGGGACTACAGGTGCCCGCCACAACACCTGGCTATTTTTTGGTTGCAGTTGTCATTGTTGTTTAACTGGCCAAGGCCAGGCCAAAGCCTTGGTGTATGTGGCCAGCACCCTACTCACTGAGCTATGGGTGCCAAGCCAGTAAAGAAAATTTGTATTAATATAAGAAAAATAACTTTAATGTTATGTTGGCTTGGAGCTCGTAGTTCAGTGAGTAGGGTGCTGGCCACATACACCGAGGCTGGTGAGTTCAGGCCCGGCCTGGGTCAGCTAAACAACAATGACAACTGCAATAAAAAATAGCTGGGCACTTGGGTGGCACCTGTGGCTCAGTGAGTAGGGTGCCAGCCCCATATACCAAGGGTGGTGAGTTCAAACCAGCCCTGGCCAAACTGCAACAAAAAATAGCTGGCCGTTGTGGCAGGTGCCTGTAATCCTAGCTACTTGGGAGGCTGGAAGCAAGAGACTAGCCAAGCCCAAGAGCTGGAGGTTGCTGTGAGCTGTGATGCCATAGTACTCTACTGAGGGCAACAAAGTGAGACTCTGTCTCTAAAAAAAAAAAAAAAAGTGCTGGAGCTGAGGCAGGTGCCTGTAGTCCCAGCTACTTGGGAGGCTGAGGCAAGAGAATCACTTAAGCCCAGGAGTTTGAGGTTGCTGTGAGCTATGACACCATGGCACTCAACCCCAGGGCAACTGAGTGAGACTCTGTCTCAAAAATATATATGTATATGTAATGTTATGTTAAAAAGCTGGATATAAGATATTTATATAATATCTGAGCTATGTTCAAAAATACATAGGAAAAGACTGATAAAACAAAATATGCCAAAATGTTAATAGTTTTCCCTGGGTTAGAAAAATAGGCAATTTATTTTATTTTATTTTATTTTTTTGAGATAGAGCCTCAAGCTATCCCCCTGGGTAGAGTGCCATGCCATCACAGCTCACAGCAACCTCCAACTCCTGGGATCAAGTGAGTCTCCTGCCTCAGCCTCCCAAGTAGCTGGGACCACAGGCACCTGCCGTCATTGTTGTTTTGGTGGGCCTGGGCTGGATTCAAACCTGCCACCTTAGGTGTATATGGCTGGCATTTTAGCCACTTGAGCCACAGGTGCCGAGCCGAAAAATAGGCAATTTTTAAACAGACCCCCTTATACCTTTAGTGCTCCCTCACTTTTATTATGTAATGAATATGCATTCCTTTTGTAATTGGAAAATAATAAAGTTAAAATTTCAAATCTATTATTTTGATATGTTTTGAAGTTTATTACCTTTCAACCAAATAATGAAGAACTTTATTTCTTTTTTTATTTTTATTTTATTTTTATTTTTTTGAGACAGAGCCTCAAGCTGTTCTCCTGGGTGGAGTGCTGTGGACATCACAGCTCACAGCAACCTCCAACTCCTGGGCTCAAGCAAGTCTCCTGCCTCAGCCTCCCAAGTTGCTGGGACTACAGGCGCCCACCGCAATGCCCGGCTATTTTCTTGTTGCAGTTTGGCAGGGGCCAGATTTGAACCCACCACTCTCAGTATATGGGGCTTGTGCCCTGCTCACTGAGCCACAGGCGTCGCCCTTTATTTCTCTTTTTAAAAAAGCAGGTGTGTTGGCCAGGCACAATGGCTCATGCCTGTAATCCTAGCAGTCTGGGAGGCCTAGGCAAGTGGATTGCCTTAGCTCACAGGTTCAAGACCAGCCTGAGGCAGCATGAGACGTAGTCTCTAAAAATAGCTGGGTGTTGTGGCAGGTGCCTGTAGTCTCAACTACTTGGGAGGCTGAGGCAGGAGAATCACCTGAACCCAGGAGTTTGAGGTTGCTATAAGCTATGATGCCATGGCATTCTACTCAGATGGACAGAGTGAGACTCTGTCTAAAAAAAAAAAAAAAAAAAGGTCTAAGAGAAGCTAAATAGAGGAATAATTTTTTTTCCAAAAAAATCTTTAGTGGGCTGGGCGTCGTGGCTCACACCTATGATCCCAGTACTCTGGGAGACTGAGGTGGGCGGATTACTTGAGCTCAGCAGTTCCAGATCAGCCTGAGTAAGGGCAAAACCTCATCTCTAAAAAATAGCCTGGGATGTGGCAGGTGCCTGTAGTCCCAGCTTATTTGGGAAGCTGAGGAAGCTGAGGCAAGAGAATCACTTGAACACAAGAGTTTGAAGTTGCTGTGAGCTATGACACTATGCCACTCAACCCCAGGACAACTGAGTGAGACTCTGTCTCAAAACAAACAAACAGGCTCGGCGCCTGTGGCTCAAACGGCTAAGGCGCCAGCCA